CCGTAGCTTCCTCCGGTATAGCCGCCACGCTTCTAAACGGGGGCCGCACTGCACATTCTATTTTAAAACTCCCTCTAAATCTAGCCCAGGAAGAATCGCTGATCTGCAACTTTTGCAAAAATAGTGCACGAGGTATAATGCTACGACAATGCAAGCTTTTAGTAAGATAAGATAAGATAAGATAAGATATTTTTATTTACTCAAACATGTGTGAGATATATCGGTGTCGGGTGTTAGTGTTATGTGTCAACTTTTATATTCGGTGTGTAAAATTTAATGATTGATTGTTAATTTTCATTTAATTGGCAAAGTCTATCAATATACAAAGTCAGCAGATTATTACTTACAACAGTCATAATTAAAAATTATGTATGTATAAGGTTTTTGTCTGGTGGTGGGACGAAAGTACAATGTCGCATAAAAAAGCTGTAAAAGCACTAAATCGAACGCTCCAGGATTTGCGCAGCAATACCGATATAATGGGAGGAATGGTGGTTTTAGTGGCTGGTTACTTTCGCCAAACTTTACCTGTCATTCAAAAGGGCACACCTGCAGATGAAATTAAAGCATGCCTCAAGTCGACTATTTTATGGAACAAGGTGACAAAATTCAGTTTAACTACGAATATGAGAATGCATTTGTATAATGATATCAATGCTGGAAACTATGCTGACACACTATTAAAAATTGGCGATGGGCGGTTGGAAACGGATGCTGAGGGCTGCGTTAAATTGACGAGAGATTTTTCTAATTTAGTACAGAGTCATTCCGAATTAATTGCGAGCGTTTATTCAGATTTAACGAACAACATGCATGAAGACAAATGGTTATGTGAAAGGGCGATTCTTGCACCAAAAAATGAGAGCAACAAAAAAATTCAGATGTATTAAGCGAAGTAGCAGGAGAAATAACAGAGTATTTGTCAATAGACACAGTTATGGACACAGAACAGAGCACTTCATATCCCGCAGAGTTTCTAAATTCTCTAGAGTTGTGAGGTGTGCCCTCACATAAGCTTCAATTAAAATTAGGCGTCCCAGTCATGCTAATGCGAAATTTAGATGCTCCTCGGTTATGTAACGGGACAAGGCTGCGTGTGACACATCTTGGACGGAACATAATCGTTGCTACAATTTTGACAGGCGTAGGAAAAGGTGAAAATGTTATTATACCACGGATCCCTATAATTCCCACAGATCTTCCTTTTCAATTCAAAAGGTTGCAGTTCCCTATTAAGCTTAGTTTTGCAATGACAATTAATAAAGCGCAAAGGCAAACTTTACAGGTAGGGGGGATCAACTTAGAAAAACCGTGCTACTCTCATGGTCAGCTGTATGTAGCATGTTCGCGTGTGTCAAATGCCCAGAATCTCCACATTCTTTCTCCGAATGGAAAAACATATAACATTGTGTACAGTAGCATCTTAAAATAGTGTTCTGTTAGTTTTTTTTTTCCAAAATTCCCACACTCAATTAATCAGAATTCCCACAGATCTTCCCTTTCAATTCAAAATTTCCTATTTAGCTCCGTTTCTTTTCAATTCCAAATGCTGCACCTCTGATGGACCTATTAAGCTCAGTTTCCTTTCAACTCAAAAGCCTGCATCTCTGATAATAATAATATTAATAAAGCCATTTATTCAACAGTACGTAATACAATTTCTTAATATCTAAGTCATATAAAATCTAGATTGTCTTCTGCTGATTGCCAATCGGCAAAGGCCTCCTCCAACCTTTTCCACTCGTTTCTATCCTTGGCAACCCGGCTCCAAGTCACACCCGCGAATTTGACCAGGTCATCCTCTCATCTTTGGCGGGGTCTCGGGGTCTTTCTTATGCCATTCCTGGGGTACCATTCTGTGACCTTCCTGCTCCACTTTTCCTTCCCTCTACTCATATGCCCAGCCCATTTCCACTTTAATTTCCTGACTTTTGTTGCTATCTGGCTGCATCTCTGACGGATCTTCTATTTGGCTCAGTTTCCTTTCAAAAGTCTACATCCCTGACGGATAATTATGCTCAGTTTCCTTTAATTAAAAAAATATCCCATTTCCATTTGGAATAAACAGGCTATTTTCATGCTTTCCTATACGCTGTGTTTCAAAACATTTAAATAGACTGACAAATCAATTTTGCTGAGTTTCCTTTTGTCTCTGACAAATCTAAAAAATTGAAATAATACTAGTTTTTACGGAATTTATCACGTATATTTAACTTTTTTTAAATTTTTTTTAAATACCCGACGTTTCGAACGCTTTACAGCACTCATGGTCACGGGCAGGACTGAGATGTTCAACGTCCATATGTCATAGTTAACCGCGGTTACCATAGATTAAAATTTTAACTTTTGTTCCGATCTATGCAGTATGAACTTATGGTATCTTGAAGTCTTGCAGTTGTATGCTTGGGTTGAGATTTAATTTTATTTATTATAGGATCCCAAGCAGATGGTAGCACCCAGCCATCTTCTCTATTGAAATTAGGATGTTTTTTGATTTCAATAGCTTCGCGAATCATCCTTGGAAGGAATCGGTGTTCTTTAGCGAGGATCTGCGGTCTATCAAATCTGATGTAGTGACGGGGGCGATCCTGTACGTGTTCACAGACTGCAGACTTCCCGGAGCGTCGATTCTTCACATCAGCTATATGTTCTTTAACGCGGGGTTTTTTTTGATCTTTTAGTTTGTCCTATGTAGGAGAGACCACATTCACAATCAAGCTTGTACACTCCTGCATCTTGCAGAGGGACATTACACTTGACCGATGGTAAAAACTGACCAATCTTCTTCAGCGGCTTGAAGTATGTTTTGATGGAAGCGCGCTTCAAGATGTAGCCAATCTTGTCAGTGACTCCTCTAACATATGGCAGTACAGCAGGTACACGCTCGACTGTGGACGGCTTCACTCGTTCACTGTGACGTAGGCGCGGGACTCGAAGCTTGTTGTCATGCAAAACTTGCTTGACATGGTGGAGCTCTGCAGCCAGGTGTTTACTGTCACAGATCCCTCGTGCTCTCTGAAACAAAGATTTACCCACGGTAGCTAACTGTGAAGGATGGTGGTGAGAATCACCGTTTAAATATCTATCTGTATGGGTCTTTTTTCTATACACAGTATGGCTCAAGGTGTTATCACGATTCCGAATTACTAACACATCTAGAAAAGCTAAGGAATTGTTTGCCTCTAACTCCATTGTGAACTGAATTTTAGAATTTATAGAGTTAAGATGGTCTAAAAATGCAGTTACTTTATCTAAAGGTAGAATTGTGAAAGTGTCGTCTACGTACCGCTTGTAGAACCTTGGATTTATGGGAGAACTAAGCAGGGCTTTCTCCTCAAAGTCTTCCATGAATATGTCGGCGACAATGGGAGATACAGGTGAGCCCATCGCCACACCATCTACTTGCTTGTAGAACTCCTCCTTCCACAATAGGTAGCCAGATGTAAGGCAGTGTCTGAGTAATACTGCATATTCTACGGGCATGTTGTTTTCTTCCAGCTTTCTAGTTACAATTGAGATGCAGTCTTCAACAGGTAAGCATGTAAACAATGACTGCACATCAAAACTGATCATAGTTTCATTGTCTGCCAGATGTAGGTCTTTAATCTCGCTGACAAAAGCACCCATGGTCACAGGGAGGACTGAGATGTTCAACGTCCAAATTTCATAGTAAACAGCGGTTACCATAGATAAAAATTTTACTTTTGTTCCGATCTACACAGTATGAACTTATGGTATCGAAGTTTTGCAGTTGTATGCTTGGGTTGGGATTTAATTTTATTTATTATAGGATCCCAAGCAGATGGTAGCACCCAGCCATCTTCTCTATTGAAATTAGGATGTTTTTTGATTTCAATAGCCTCGCGAATCATCCTTGGAAGGAATCGGTGTTCTTTAGCGAGGATTTGTGGTCTATCAAATCTGATGTAGTGACGGGGGGCGATCCTGTACGTGTGAAGTGTGTGTGTGTGTGAAGACTCCAAGTTTTCAATTTTATCATTATAAGTGCTTAAAATAATTTCCAATCAACAAATTTCGACCTTAATTGTTACTGTTCATAGACCACATGCATAATCTCTGTAGATAATAGGAAGCACTGCATAAAGTATTCTATCTCATTCTCTCATCGGCTAAATCCTAACATATAGATCTATATGTATATGTTTGTCTCTTTTTAGTGTTGCTTTTACATTTATCGAGTTTCAAATTACAAATAAATATTCTAAAGAAGTTTTTAATTCAAAAAATTAAATCATGCGCACTCTGCTTTTCCAAGCATACTAGTATTTTATTTATTTATAGAGATCACTGTGTAGTTGCAGGGCGCTAAGAGTGCCTCGATCTAAGAATGCCTACTACCCCATATCGTCCCATGTGTGTCGTAAGTGGCGACAGTGGGAAACAAACCAGGAGATGGGCAGCAGCGTCTTAATGATAACACACACAGTTCTATCAAGTATTGCCTTTATGAGACAATCTATGGGTAGGGCCTGCGTTCAGTAGTGTACATAGGCTGTAATAGTAATAAAAGTATGTGTCTTGAAATATTGGGTGCGTTTGGCAGAAAAAAGCGCTAGCAAGCGCTTGTAAGCAAAATGGCGATCGTAAGCGGTAAGTGCTGTCAAATCGTAAGTAGCTATTTTCCTCTAGGACACGATGTTAGTTTTAACGGGGGAACCTAACCTAATTTAAATATATGTTTGTATTCATATTAAAAACTTACCAATTATGAATTTTTAATAACATGTAAGTATGTTTATTCATGTCATTATATTATTTAAAACTAATATTGCACAAAACAACTTATAAACTCTACTTCAAAACAAACAAATTAAATAAGCAAAATGGCGGATTGTGTCAGCGCTACTGAAGTAGCAATCGTGTCCTGGCCAAAAACTATTTTAGCGCTTGTAAGCACTTGGTAGCGCTTTTTTCTGCCAAACGCACCCATTGATTACTTGATTAGTAGGGTGTCTTTAGAATATTCTTGATTGTTTCAGATTCAAAAACTTCCTCCGTACATATACAAATAATAAAGGTCAGTTTGTCTACAAAGACCGTATTCGACGAATGTGTGAACACAATCAGGCATCATTCCACGTGGAGTTCGATGTATTAGCACGAAGGGAACAAGTACTTGCCTACTTCTTGCCAGAGGCACCGTTTCAAATGCTGCAAATCTTTGATGAGGTTGCCAAGGAGATAGTCTTGCAAATATTCCCGAGTTACGAACGAGTAACTTCCGAAATCCATGTTCGAATATCTGATTTGCCGCTTATTGAAGAGTTGAGAACATTCAGAAAGCTACACTTGAATCAGCTTGTGAGGACAGTGGGAGTAATTACTGCTACAACCGGCGTTCTACCGCAGCTCTCAGTTGTGAAATATGATTGTAACAGATGTGGGTATATTCTTGGACCGTTTGTTCAATCGCAGAATACTGAAGTGAAGCCTGGATCTTGTCCGGAGTGTCAAAGTTCTGGACCTTTTATGGTAAATAACTTTGACATTCAACTTTTCTCCTTATTTTCCTGTGTTTCATTTAAGTGTAAGAGAGAAGCTCTTTCTTTTTTAAAGTCTCTTATAAAAATACTATAGAAAATAGTGAGTCTCCAAGGCAAGTGCAGGGTAAAGGTGTGTACTCAATGGAGTAAACCCAAAATAATATTATATCCAATGCAGTAAATAAGCAGTTATTATAAGTTGCTTACGAAAAATAATTTTGCATTGGCAATAATTTAATAATAAAATGGACAAAATAAAACTTTGTTGTCCATTTTAAACCATTATTCACATCTCTACTAGTTACTGTGACCTTGACTTCCTAATTTTTAGAAACTTGATTGGTATTGGGCTGTGGCCAAGACAGTGGAGTTGATAGTTCACTGTTTTCTTTACATAAATGGATATAACTCTTTTGTAAGAAAATAAAGTATTGCAAAAAACATGGTGTCTAAAATGTATTCACATTCCATTAACAGGTGAATATGGAGCAAACAGTGTACCGTAACTATCAAAAAGTCACAATCCAGGAATCACCAGGTCGGATCCCCGCTGGTCGTATTCCTCGCAGTAAAGACTGTATATTGTTGGCAGATCTATGTGATAGATGCAAGCCAGGAGATGAGGTTGATTTAACTGGGATATATACCAATAACTATGATGGATCACTCAATACTGAGCAGGTATTTAAATTCTTTTTTTTTTAATTGTTACCCCTACACTAGGATTTTCTCCTGTATCATGGAAGGACTTTACAAACATAAATTGCACAAGGACAAACATCCAGACCCGGAACAATTATTTGTGGGCCATATAAATACTTGTTCCGTGCGGGATTTGAACCCGCGACCCCCAGCGCAGCCACTCATTGCTAAGCCACTGCGCCACGGAGTCGTCATTTAAATTAAATTCTTTATTAGCATATCAAAGTCTACTACTTGACTTAGGAATACCCCATTGTAGTGAGGATAATGTATGATAATGGATGTATAATACCATGCATTCCATTACAGCTTATAAAGTCCACTGCTGAACATAGGCCTCCCCCCCAGGTTGCCTCATAGCATAGAGAAATTTTGCCATAGTTGACATGCTTGGTGAGCGGGTTTTTTAACCATAGTTTTTTATTATTTGGGCTGTCAATTTGCTTAGTGGACATGGTTAATATTTCCAATATGGACCATCGATTTCAAAGCCCATATTTTTTTGTAGATAGTACTCACTAAAAGAAAGCGTTTTGCATAGTTTTAGGTTGCGGAAACTTACGATTCATGAGATATATTTTTTTAAACTTTTCATACAAATTGGCAAATAACACGCAATTACACCAATTATAAAATAAATTTGACAAATGATTGATGTCAAACGTCAATTAGTGTAGAGTTCCGAATATTTTGAAAGTATCGATACGTACTCGATACCAAGTATCGTATCAAAAGTATCAATACTACTTGGTATCGAGTACATTTCGTTAATTTTGGAGACTAGGGGGGGTAAGAAGCCGGGATGTTGTGCTCCGGCGCTCGGTGGCAGCTCCGGCGCTGCGGGATGAGCAGTGCCTCCGCCCTAGCGTAGGGAAGCACAGGCACCTGAGCTTCCCTACGGCGGGTGGGCACTGCTCTCCCTCCGCGCCTCCGGGCTCTTATATACACTCTAGGGGAAGGGCAGACAAGACCACGTGGATAGTGGGGTGCTCTGATTCGGTTTTGGGTACTTTTTGGATATTAAATAAGTAAGTCAATAAGTAAGTAAACACTTTATTGTAGTAAGAATTATATAATACAGAAAGTTGCAAACAATAAAATAAAAGTATAAAAGCTGTACTAATTAGGAAATACAAACAAGTTGCAAACAATTAAATACAAGTACTAAGGTGGAACTTAAATAGAGTAAACTTTATTCTACTTTATATACATATATAATTACACTTATCAGCTCTTCCTATGCATCTAATTGGTTTGTCATAATTTTTCGTCTCCAAAATTAACGAAATGTACTCGATACCAAGTAGTATTGATACTTTTGATACGATACTTGGTATCGATACTTTCAAAATATTCGGAACCCTACACTAACTGACGTTTGACATCAATCATTTGTCAAATTTATTTTGTAATTGGTGTAATTGCGTGTTATTTACCAATTAGTATGAAAAGTTAAAAAAAAATATCTCATGAACCGTAAGTTTCCGCAACCTAAAACTTTGCAAAACGCTTTCTTTTAGTGAGTACTATCTACAAAAAAAATATGGGCTTTGAAATCGATGGTCCATATTGGAAATATTAGCCCTCTTTTGAGGCTTATATCTTTAGACAGCCCTATCCACCCTATCTAAGAACACATCTGATGATATGTCATTTTATAAAACATCTTAACCAGAACATGCCAGTTTGGATAGTATAGTCTGGACCGGGCCTATTTTACAAAAATGTACAATTCATTATAGATCAGTTCTAAAAAAACTAAAATAATACTGTTCTGTGGTGATGGCGTAAACGAATTTTTTATTACTTTCGTAAGATAACTATGTAATCATCTCGCTTTTTACGTGGTAGAGCCACGCTGCAGCTGTATTATGGTTATAGCACGAATGGGTCCGCTCGACTGGGGTAAGACCACACTCTCATAGAATACCAGAGTAGAATATCAACCCAATGTTGCTGTGCTTTATATGGTGAGTGTAGAGAACCAGAGACCGTTTTTTATTGGAAATGAGGCACACAGTCCTCAGGGGTGGCACCACATTTGTATAGATGTCTATGGGCCACAGCATCTAACCATCAGGTGGGCTGTGTGATAGTTTGTCACCCTTATTGTATAAAAAAAAGGTAAGACGTAAAATACCCAAAGCAACAGGCAGCATCAAAAGTGCGAACATCTGTCCCAGCCAAGCCTGCCAAATGTGACCATTAAGATAATTTTTTTTTCTATAATCCATGTCCAGGAACAGACATGTTCAGCTGTGGACTTTGAGGACTGATTAAAATTGTCAAACATGTCATCGCTTGGGTGATGTAAGAAGCGACAAAAGGAAATAAATCAAGAGATGGGCAGTAGCGTCTTCCTTATAATAACTAAAAATAAAAATTAGGCAAATATCACCCTTATGAGGCAATCTATGGGGTAGACCTATGTTCAGTAGTAGACTATAATACACTTACAGTTACCGTAATGTTCTTCTCGTAAGGAACTTAATAAATGATTAACTACGGATTTACAGGGTTTCCCGGTGTTTGCAACAGTTATCATAGCAAATTATATAGTGGTCAAAGATTGCAAGCACATTGTAGAGTCATTGACAGATGAAGATGTTGCTAACATTGTAAAACTCTCCAAAGATCCCAACATTGGTGAGAAAATCGTGCAGAGTATAGCTCCCTCGATTTATGGACATGATTACATAAAGAGGGGACTGGCGCTCGCTCTATTTGGTGGCGAACCGAAAAATCCAGGTAATTTATCAAACAATAAAAGATTGCCCTTTGGGCTATTACGACCGCGGACACTACTTTTGAATTGTAAATTGACTGCCTCTGGTCTAGTGGTCGTAAATGCAGTGGCTAATCATGAGGTCCTGAACAAGAAACATCACGTCACTTGCATTAGTAGTGAATACAAAGACTAGAAGCTTTTTATGTGGTAGAGTCATGCTGCAGCTATACTATAATTATAGCACTAATGTGTCAGCTCGACCGGGGTAGGACCACATTCTCACAAAACACCAGCCTAAAATAGCAGCTTAATGCTGCTGTGTTACGTATGGCGAGTTTAGAGACATTCCATCTCAGTCCTAAGGGGTGACAATGCATCTCTATTTTATTTCTTAATTAAGGATAAATGTAGATGTGTATAGGCCACAGCATCCACTTCATTCATCATCCTTATTTTTTGCTTTTTATTTTTCATAACTATGTCAGTGATGAGAACCAGAGACCTTTTTTATCAGAGGTGATAATACATCTGCATTTTGATTCTTAATTGAATGTAGTGTAGACGTATATATGCCACAAGTTATTCTTATTCCATATATCTTATCTAATTTGGATCACTTTGTAAATGTTTAGTATTAGATATTTCCTATATATATATATATATATATATATATATATATATATATATATATCTGCCTCTAGGAAATATGTATGTATGTATTGGTTGTTTGCAGGTGAAAAACACAAATTGAGAGGGGATATCAATGTTCTGATTTGCGGCGACCCAGGAACTGCCAAATCACAATTCTTGAAATACACAGAAAAGGTAATAACTATTCAGTTGAGCATGTTACACATATATTGTTACGTCAGCCAAGTGTGTATGTGTGTATTCCGTCTTTAATTGTCAAATAATAAAATGTGTAGGAATAAAAATAGATAACGTTTGGACTATAAATGCAAATGAAGCAACCTTATGTCTTGTAAGCACTTGTACTTGTATAAAGCCTTTTATCGTTTGGATATTGTTATTGTCAATAATCTCGAGTGTTCTTGTACACTCCGGTATTAGAATGGAACAACCGGGATTGGCATAGAAAATTTTATATTAATTTTACCGAGTGTAAAAGCTTGTGCTAAGGAGTGGAAAGTTAGTTATTTCGGGAACGCGAAAGTGAACTCTACTTCGGAAAACGACCTACGACATCTTCGATTATTAGGGACCTCAAGAAGAAGCTAGCGATTTTGTACGACGTAATAGGGCATTTGCACCATGTAAAATATCAAAAAATATATATTAATTATAGGTTTTGTAAAAACTAAACGAGAAATGTTAACTTCTATTCATGAAAATGCGCTTTAAATTTTATAATTCAATTTAAAAAAAAATTTGGGCCTTAAATCTCCAAAACGCTATATGCTATATGAGATTCCGTCGTGACGTAACTTTTATAGTAAGCAAGTTAATGTGTTGTGTTTTTTTTTTTTCAAAAAAAAAATCAAGTTATCATCACAATTGTTGATCAATTCCGGACCATGTAGTAGTGGCATATTATAATTCATAACCCCATTTCATCACTTGGGTGACATAAGAGGCGACTATATGATATGCTAAAAGGATTTTATGGCTTTGGGGGTGTTTTTTATTATTATATGCCATTGTTTGGCTAACTTTTTAATATGTGACGTTCGATGACGTTCTAATTCGTAAAATTAGTTTTATATAATGTGTAGTATTCTCATAAATAAAAAAAATCATCATTGTTTGACTTCTATCCCACCTGATGGTAAATCTTTAAGCAGCCAAAGATGGTTAAAGCACACTGACTAGCTTAACTAAAGCCTATTCACTCTTGCATTGAATGCACCCAGTTTATAATCAGATGGGAAGACAGATGCTAATCTGTAATGTTTAACATTTCGTAAATACCTAGACGCAGGTGCGCAACCTCTAGTACTGAGGTCTAAGCATGGCGATAAGACAAATCCCCTATCCCTATATATTGGTTCGCAAAGTACCTTTGTTCTTTCCAGGACAGAGGTATTTTTCGAACCAGTGGTAAATAAAAAAATAACTTTCAATAATTTATATCTAATAATCTCTATTGAATAAAAATCATTCACTTCCATTATACAATAGATGTCCACATCCAGTAGTGGTATATTACATGATGAAGAAAAAGACCCAGCCACTTTCTTACCGCTACATTATCTATAACTATTAGGTACAATAATGTGATACAAACGTAAAATTAATACACAGTGTTTGTTTCTCATTAGATCGCGCCCCGTGCAATATTTACCACAGGGCAGGGTGCCAGTGCGGTTGGTCTTACGGCTTATGTGAGAAAGAATCCTACAACAAGGTAAGTGAGATCACATCAAATCCTATATTTTAAAAAGTAAAACAATTCTTTTTTAAATCAGTTCATGGCTCATTGGCCGTGTAGTGGCTGCGTAATACAATCCACTACCCCATATCCATTCCGTTGGTGTCGTAAGATGCGACAGACGGAAATGAGAGACATGCAGTAGCATCTTCCTGATAACAACCCAAAAACTGCAATTGCAGTGGACTTTTGATAGGCTGTATAATGAGTGAAACAGTTCATAATTATGTATTTTTTATTTCTTAAATTCAAGAAATTCAAGAATAAGGAACCTATTACTAAAGGACGTATATCTTTTTTTATTTAAATGCTTCTTAGTGCTGGTGTGTGTGCGTGCGTGCGTGCGTGTGTGCGCGTGTGCGTGTGTGTGTGTGCGTGTGTGCGCGCGTCAGTGTATATGCACGTGTGAGTGTGCGCGCTCGTGGTGTGTGTGCGTGCACGTGTGAGCGCGCGGGTGTGTGCGTGAGTGTGTGCGCGCGGGCGCGTGTGTGTGTGTGTGTGTGAGAACAAATTTGGTGATTCTTTTTTTTATTTAAAAGATAGTGCTTCTCATGTGGTCCGTCACATGTGATAAGATCTGAATTGATCTATAGTGTTTTCTTTTATTTATATTGAAGTGGTCTTTTTTAATTTTACCACTTGTGTTGAAGTAAGTAATTAATACTTATCAATGAATTTACTCATTTCCTCTAGAGACTGGACTCTGGAAGCTGGTGCTTTAGTCCTGGCAGACCGAGGCGTGTGTCTTATTGACGAGTTCGACAAAATGAATGACCAGGACCGAACCTCGATACACGAGGCCATGGAGCAGCAGTCCATCTCTATATCAAAAGCTGGTATCGTCACTTCGTTGCATGCCAGGTAAGAATTAACGGCACCTGTAAATGAGGGCTAATAATCTTACGCTCACTAGATGTTGTGACTGCGGTGAACCTATTTGTCAAATTAACAAGTGGTCACATAGTGTCTTCATCATTGAAAAGTTTTGTTTAAAAAAGCTTTTCGTTTCTAGTGTATTTATATTATATACAAAACAATGACTTAGTGGTGTGTTTAATTTTTTACACATTATTAAATTTATTTTAATTCTCATTTTTAAAGGTTATACGTAGTTTGTAATAGTAATAATGCTTTATTTCACTAATACATTTTAATAAAAAATTTAAAGTCCCTGACTCCTAATTTAGGAACCTGTATCTCAGGAGCCAGTGTCTTCTTACAAAAATAACTGTACAGATTACTTATATGTTGCCAAAAATAAAAATCTATAAATTAAATGTGTGTGTGTGTGTGTGTGTGTGTGTGTGTGTGTGTGCGTGTGCGTGCGTACGTGTGTGTACGCGAATACACACACGCGCGTGGGCGTGAGCGTGCGTGCGCGTTGGTGGGTGGATGGGTTTTATCCATTTGTAATATAAAAGTAAAGTAAAGTTAAGTTCGGGGTAATTGGAAGCTTTCCTTCTAATATAGTGAACACAAAATATTAGTTGATATTATTAAGAAAGAAACATTAACTTTTACACTTTTCTAACAATTGTGACTTCTCCATTATAAGATCTGTCAAATATTTCACCTCATTCGAAAGTGGCGCCGCCCGGTAAAATTTTAATAGCCACTATTATTGACTAGATTTTAGTATTGAAACAAGAAAATATTATTAGAAATATGCTATAAACTAGCACTTTATTTTATTCTACCAGTGGTGTATTGGTCTCATAAACCATAAAGTTTTTGTCCTGTAGCATAGACTAAATTACATTTGGACAAATCCAGACACGGAACAATTATTTGTTGGCCATACACATAAACACATGTTTCATGTGGTATTCAAACGCAAATTATGAGAACGAATGTTACTGATATTCTGGTGAAAAAGACAAATTTACTGACAATCCGTCACATTGTTAAGGCAAAAGAACAGACAAACATAAGTAAAAACAAACCCGAATATTTTGTAATTTTTACTAAATTATTACCTTTATGGTTAATATATATAATATATAAATAGTAATTATCACCTTTAAAACTAAGTTGCATTACGGATACATTACATTTAAACTCCATTTTATTATAATGTACATCAACCAAATTTTTAACCTGACTGGATATAAAAATGAAACAATTTAACTACTTTATTTAAAAACTAATTCTTAATTTTTTAACCTACATCAAAAAAGGAAGAGGTACTCAATTCGTTGAATTTCGTGTTAAGTCAGAACTGTTTTCTAGGTGAACCGATTTCGATGATTCTTTTTTATATTTGAATGAATAAAATCTGGTGCTTCTCAAGTGTTCCCATATAAATTTGATCAAGATCTGACCCGTAGTTTTTGAGTTATATTTAATAATGCTTATTTAATTGACTTTAACTACATTGATGATTTTATTTATATTGAACTTGGTTGTAAAAAAATTTTTTAGTTTACCACTTGTTATAAGTTGTATTCTTATGAGTGTTTTTGGTTGATGATTGGAGAATCAGTCCTAAATCAAATAATCGTCCTAACTATAAGCCCCCTTACTAACTTATATAACCAGCTGGGGAACATCAGTTCCTTACTTATCTTGGTGGAAGAGTACAAACCGTATAATGCAATTTTTTCAACAGGTGTTCAATCATAGCGGCCGCCAACCCCATAGGTGGGCGTTACGACGCGTCGCTTACCTTCTCCGAGAATGTTAACCTTTCCGAGCCCATACTGTCGCGATTCGACGTGCTTTGCGTCGTGCGAGATGAAGCGGACCCTATGAAGGACGCTCATTTGGCTAAGTATTTATATTTTAATACAAACTATAGTAAAGTTACAGCCTATATACGTCCCACTGCTGGGCACGGACCTCCCCTCATTTCTGAGAAGGTTTTAGGGCAAGGAAATGTCTGCCCCGCTGCCCCAACGCGTGTTGGCGAACTTCACATGTCTTCGAAGTATTTTTTTTCTCTTATTCCTCAGACATGCAGGTTTCCTTCACCGCCGAGCACGTGATAAATCAGATAGTCAGGTAATACAAATCATACTAAATTATAAAACAAATACTTTTCGTGCGATTGCATCTGTCCACATTATTAACTTTCTGTGTGGTTTTATAAATGGTATAACCACGCTGCAGCTATATAATGGTTGTAGTATGAATGAGTCGGCTGGACCAGGGGAAGTCCACGCTCCTACATAATCCTAGCGTGAAATTGAACTTAATGGCTGCTATGTTTCGTATGGAGAGTGTAGAGAATTGGAAACACATTGTATTGGACATGAGGTATTCCATCTTAGTCTTCAAGGGTGACAACGCTACTGCATTTCGGAGTTTTGGTTGAAGATAGATGTAGATGTGCAAACTGAGAGAGTCGTGAGTTCGAATCCGATACTTGATTACTGTGGTGGACCACTCTTAACACAAGCATTTTTATGCTTATGGTGGTAAACGAAAGTAATTAGCATTGTTAATACCGTTACTAGTATTCTTCCAAAAAAATTTTTCATTAAAAACTTCTGATATTATGTAATTATGTGTCCAACGAAGATGTGTCGGTGTTGATTATATTATTTGTTACCGACATTATATAACAGATGAAAAGTTACTTATCTACAAAGTTATAACTTCATTATTTTGGAAGTTCAACATATCATTATAATTAATATAATTCAGCAATACTTAGCAAAAATCCATCATATTAAAGATGTTAAAATTAATTAGTTTAGAGCCGCGTGAAAAACAACAATGACGTTTTACCTAGTTTGAAGAGCACCTCCCCCTCCCCCCGAACTAGGGGTGGTGGTAGATTTTACGTCGCTACCATACGGCGAAGAGTCGAGTTTATTTTTTCGGCTTTATTGCTCGTTTAGCACCACCCGGGGACACGTGTACTGTGGGCCTAAGGTTAGGTGGTCGAAGCCTACGGACGCGAGCGACTCATCCCCCATTTATATGGCAGATGTGAACGGCAGATTCGGGAAGGGACGCCTTAGGGACGTTTATGTACCAAATTGGCGATATTTTGAAAATGGGCCACATTAGAAGTACCCTTAACCGACGAGCATGTATATGTAGATATATGGATGTAAAGGAGGCGAAAGAGGTGTGTCGTTGGTCGTAGTCTCTGCCTACCCCTCTGGGTGACTGGCATGAGTGTTTATGTTTAGAAAGTTTTGTATAAGATTAATAATGGGGTTTATAAAGAAATAAAAAATAATATGTTGCATACTATTTGTTTTATTTAATTTTATGCTGTTTAACATAGTTACATACACACAAAATGCATTACGCATAACACATAAATCTAACACACAACACATATTATAACCTTAACTACTATAGTCAACAGTAACATTTCTATTTTTATTATGTATTTCAATAATATTATCATACGTCGCTTTGTACACTAGGAAAGACAAACCACCTTCGATAGTGGTACTAAAACGAAGCATCATCGGTAGATTTCGGCTGCATTCTATTTCATCAATGTAAAATTCGTTAGGTTTTTTTTTTTACATAGAATACTATAATACACAATAGAATGGCTGTCAACCTTAGTTTGTACGAGGATAGGCGTCGCCGGGAGCACACATACAAGCAATTACGTCGTATTATTATTTACAGTAAATCACTACTACAAATATATCACTAATACATATTTATTTGTAAATAGCATGCAATTTGGCATTTTCTAAATAATTTGCATGCGAAATTTGGAAACGATTGTAACGTCAAAACACATCTCGTGTTGACATTTATACGTGTGAATTGACGTGTTAGTAGCATTTTAGTAGCTACATGGGCTCCGCCCACTCCCCCATTCTATTATGTATGTATTATAGTATTCTATGGTTTTTCATATATCCTCTTTTCTAGGTTCGTCGTGAGCTCACACATCCGGCATCACCCAACACAGCGAGGTACCACTCTAGAGGATAACACCGCCGATGACAATGGCATACCACAAGATCTCCTGAAGAAGTATATTGTATATTCGAGGGAAAATGTGCATCCTAAACTACAGGTGACTGAATAAATGTTACTATATTGTTGCGCGCCACAGTTGATGGCACTAGCGCCATCTAGTATCGAATGGACGAACTAAGCTTTCTGGAAAGCCCCACCCTCGAACTTTCTGCACCTGGTCGGTCGGGGCCGGTAATTGCTTGAATATTCTCGATGTTTCGGTGGAAAAAGCCTATATAAAGCCGTTGAAAGCCGCGATCGGAGTAGTATTGAATTGGCTATACGAGCGAAGCTTTCGGACCGAAATAAACGGAACTAAAGTGTTAAGTGGGCTGGGGCTCCCCAGTACCAGCTTCTTCCACTTGACCGCATCCAGCGCAGAGCGGCTCGAATCGTCGACGACCGAGTGCTTTCCGATCGGCTCGATTCACTGGCGCTGCGAAGAGATGTTGCATCACTTTGCGTATTTTATCGCATCTATTACGGGGAGTGCTCTGAGGAATTGTTCGGATTAATCCCAGCCGCCAAATTTCGTGAACGCACTACACGTCAAACGTCCCGATACCATCCACACCATCTGGATGCTTGGCGGTCCACCACTGTACGTTTCACAAGGAGTTTTCTTCCACGTACAACCTCTCTGTGGAATAGTTTACCACCGGCGATTTTTCCGGACCGATACGACCTGGGGACCTTCAAGAAAAGAGCTTACTCCCTTCTAAAGGGCCGGCAACGCACCCGCAATTCCCCTGGTGTTGCGGTTGTTCATAGGCGGCGGTAGTCACTTAACATCAGGTGAGCCGCATGCTCGTTTGCCCCCTCTTCTATAAAAAAAAAAAAGTGTGATTAATTATTAGTGTGATTTAAGTTTTAATTGGTGTCTGGTATTTAAAGTGTCAATTTTTGTAATTCAATCGGCAGTTTTTATTGTCACGAACCTTAAGCTCGTAACAATATATTATAGATATTTAGATATCTCATGCTGGTATTCTATGAGAGACGAAATGCCGTACAGCACACTTGGCTGAGGGATTGTAGTATCAAATGACTGAAACCTTTAAAATGCACCGATTCAGCACAGTAGTCTTTATATTTTGATAAAAGAGAAGACAAAGGAGCATGCGGCTCACCTAATAGTACTGAATATCTAATAACAAATGCAAATCCGGGGGCGAGTGCGTGTATGTTGCCGGCCTATTGAAATGGAGTAGTCTCTTTTATTGAAAGTTTCTTAGTAATATTGATCCAGAAAAATTGCCGGTAGTAGCCGATTTCAAAACTTCTGGTGAATTTCACAGACCGACCGCCAATCATCCAGATGGTATATGTGGTATCGCGAAATTTGTCCCAATGTACGATATTGAAATTTGGCGGCTGAACCAGTCCAAATATACCTGGGTTGCATAATTATTATTTTTTTTTTACGAGAACTCTACACATTGAATAAAAATACTATTACTGATTTTATTGCGTTTATTACTACTTATTTTTAGTTCCGGACATCTCGGGCGTTTTGCAGCACCCATTAATTTTACAACACACACACACACACACACACATATATATATATATATATATATATATATATATATATATATATATATATATATATATATATACAGAATGGGTCCCACATATATGCAATAAATGAAACCACAAGTAATACTAGTCCGTAGAAGTGTAGAAAAATTAAATATTAAATTAAAACCCGTAAAATAAAAAAAGTGAAATTTTCAAACAAAATAAATATTAAAATAAATTCAGTAAAAGTGAACACTCTGTTTAGACAACCTTGACCCCTTGGAAGAGTGACAACGTTGCACGCGAGTGCTTAAAATTAAAACTCTACTTTTTGACCTAATTACTGGACCGATTACGTTCATTTTTTTGTATATCGTCAGCAAAGGCGATAACAAGTATATGGTTTCATTTATTGCATATATGTGGGACCCATTCTATATATATATATATATATATATATATATATATACTTAATTTTTTGTTTTCATATAGATTATGCAATCTTACTTGAGTGTTTAATGCAGAACATGGATCAAGACAAAGTTGCAAAAATGTACAGCCAGTTGCGTCAGGAATCCTTGGCTACAGGCAGCTTGCCCATCACTGTTCGACATATTGAATCAGGTGAGACACAGAAGTTTTATTTAATTTCAAAAATTTATATTACTTGCGGAGGAAAATAATATTTCAGTTAGGTTTGAACTAAAAAATAAATGTGTCTTTGTCTACCAGGTAAATATTTTTCGATATATGATTTTATTTTTAAACCAATCTTATAACATTTATATTTTTCACAAGACCAGATTGTTTAATCTAGCGAAATGTTACCGAGCTCGTGGTTTTTATGCATGCAAAATTGCGATAGACAATTAAAAACTGTGTTAATTTTGTACCTTGCGGTTGTGACAGCTGTGAGAAAAGTACATAAATGTTTGATAATCTCTTGGGCTTTGACTGTTAGCTTTTTGCTTTTGTTTAAAATATTTGACATATTTTAATTGGACTTTGTTTTTGTTTGATATTTTTTTTATATTACTTGTGGATGTATTATAAAATAATGCTCACTTTAATTTTGTGATTTATGTCAATCTTAATATATATACAGTGTGTCCGGTTGCCGGTGTCGGAGCTTTTAATGCTATAAAATATAATCAATTTCATCGACAAATCATGTCTCAAATCTCATTTAGACCTAGCTGAAGATGTCTCATTGGATAGATAAAGATACGCGTAATAAAATAAAAGCATACTTTTAACTGCAAAATTGTATTTAGATGTTAAAAAGACTTACAAAAGAAAAAAAATGTAAAAAAATCGGTTATTTTTTCACATTTTCGACTTTAATAAATAAAGTAAGTCATTTACCTAATGATTTTTTACATTAATCATATAGATCATAACATATCCTAACCAAAAACATAAAAATCTTAATTGTAAATTAAATAGTTTAAGAATTGTACTTTATCAAACACGAACTCTTAAAAGCGCAAGCTGCATGTGCAGGATCATTTATGATAGTTCAAGAGCAGGTAGAAAAACCCAAAGCCCATTGTTTGATGTTCTAAATAAGTGTACTTGGGACAACAAAAACAGTCGTCCCTCGCCACGCGTTGTGATTACACTACTTTTGCCCCTCTAATACCGCTTGTTGTTATTATTGTTAAAAAAAAATCCGTTTTGTGGAACTTTTTAAGTTTGTGGTGAAGTTTCTAGTTATTTTGATATTATCAAAAATGGCAGATGGTAAATACTCAAACCAGCATGTCGCTGATATCCACTTTGTGTATGGATTGTGCAACGGCAACGCAAACAGAGCTGTCACAGAGTACGCCAGAATGTTTGTCAAGAGGCCTACACCAAATGCTCGCACTTTTGTAAGGATACATTTGCGGATACCTGAACTTGGGATCAGAAGACCCGCTAATGAAAGATTTCAGCTTGTGGCGCCTGAGGAGGAAGAAGAGATATTACGTTTAATTACACAAGATCCCAGACTCGGTGTAAGACGAATAAGCAATATGCTTAATTTAACAAAATGGTCAGTGTGGAGAGTTTTAAAGAGGGAAGGTTTGCATCCTTACCATTTTCGGCGGGTACAAGACAAGATGCAAATGATCAGACGTGCAACTCAACATGTGGCAATAAGGGCTACAACATGTCTCCAACATCGCGGAGGTCATTTCGAACAGTTTTTATAAATAACTTTTTAGTGACGTGCATTTTGAAATGTTGTGTTTCACTCTTCTCATCAATTCACTTTGTCTGTCTGCAACCAGGGCGACAAATTGTTCAAAGGTCATATTCAAACAGTTATAATACTGTTTTTTTTTTGGTTACAATTAAGATTTTTATGTTTTTGGTTAGGATATGTTCTGATCTATCTGATTAATCTAAAAAACCATTAGGTGAAAAAATAACCGATTTTTTTTTTTACATTTTTTTCTTTTCTACATTTTTTCTCTTTTAGGATCTAAATACAATTTTGCTGTATTAGAGGGGCAAAAGTAGTGTAATCACAACGCGTGGCGAGGGACGACTGTTTTTGTTGTCCCAAGTACACTTGTTTAGAACATCAAACAATGGGCTTTGGGTTTTTCTACCTGCTCTTGAACTATCATAAATGATCCTGCACATGCAGCTTGCGCTTTTAAGAGTTCGTGTTTGATAAAGTACAATTCTTAAACTATTTAATTTACAATTAAGATTTTTATGTTTTTGGTTAGGATATGTTATGATCTATATGATTAATGTAAAAAATCATTAGGTAAATGACTTACTTTATTTATTAAAGTCGAAAATGTGAAAAAATAACCGATTTTTTTTACATTTTTTTTCTTTTGTAAGTCTTTTTAAGATCTAAATACAATTTTGCAGTTAAAAGTATGCTTTTATTTTATTACGCGTATCTTTATCTATCCAATGAGACATCTTTTAAGAATGTAGGACTTCTACATCGGTGAATATTGTAATTTTAATGCGCGGGGTCGAGGTGGTGACACTGAAAAATTTAAATGGCTGCCATTTAAATACAGCTCGGTCATTACACATTTTCGATGAAATTGATCATATTTTATAGCATTAAAAGCTCCGTCACCGGTAACCGGACACATTATATATATATAAATTTCGTGCGAAGAATCTCCGTGAGGAAAACCGGCGAAGAGGTTCGCCACCCGTCACGTTCTGTCACCCGGAGAGGCGAAAAGTGGATTGCAGAGGCCCGTCTGGCTACGTTGAATGTATGTGGGGCAATGAATGATAAAATGGATGAAGTATGCGATATGATGTATGATAGAGGAATAGATGTGTTATGCGTAAATGAGACGAAAAGGAAGGGGAAGGATGTCACTACACATGGCATGTATACCGCATACTGGTCTGGTGTAGACGAGATCGAGCGGGCATGCCAGGGAGTAGGTATCATCCTTTCAGAAAGAGTGGGCCAATGTGTGAAAGAGTATGAATGTGTAAGCCCAAGACTGCTATGGATACGAATGAAAGTGGGCTTAAAGAAGTTGTTTGTGTTAGGGGTCTACGCCCCAGACATGTCTAAGCCCACTTATATCCGAGAGCAGTTTTGGGAAATGGTAAGGATGGTGTTAATGAAGTGTAAGGGAAATGAAAATATTATTATGCTAGGAGATTTTAATGGAAGGGTTGGGGTCAGGAGGCTTGGTTATGAAAGGATATTGGGAAAGTATAAATGAGAATGGTGAAAGTCTCCTCACCGTATGTATGGAAAAGAATCTTTTTGTGACGAACACTTGCTTTCGCCACAAGAGGATTCACATGTATACTTGGGAAAGAGGTGACGATAGAAGCATGATAGATTTCATAATTGTGGGTGAAAGATTGAGGGGCGCAGTGGTAGATACGAGAGCTTACCGGGGTTCTAACGTAGGAACGGATCATTATTTAGTTTTATGCCGAATTAATGGTCTATTCAGGCGTTCGCGCCATCGATCGTCTGTGTCTACCACTGCGTTACAGCGTATTAGAACAGAAAGGTTACAAGATGAAAGTGATAAAAACAAGTTCAAATGTAGACTGAAAGAAAATATAAGTGGTTTGGATGAATTATGTATGAAGGAGTTAGACTTGGAGAATATATGGCAAAATGTAAAGAAAGGTTTAGTGGATGCAGCTACCGAAGTATGTGGTGTTATTAAGAGAAAGAATGAAAGGAAAAACGTTACGTTATGGTGGAATGATGAGATACATATGGCAGTTGAAGCAAAGAAGAGAGCATGGCTAGATTTATTAGCAACAAAGGCTGCTAATTCTAGTGGTACGAATGGTGATATTGAAAGAAAAAAGGCAGTCTTTAGACATCTTAATAAGAGAGTAAAAGAAGTAGTTGAAAGAAAAAAGCAAGAAAGAACGGATAAGAATGATAGAAGAATATCGGATAAATTCCAGGCAAATATTAAAATGTTCTGGAAACTTGTAAGAACTGCCAGGGGACATTCAAAACAGCCTATGATGAATGCAATAAGAGACGAAAGGCTATATTCTGAATGATGAAGTTTTGAGTTTAAAGAGATGGAAGGAATATTTTGAAAGCGTGTTTATGAGTGAGGAGACAACGTGTGTACTAAGTGAAGTAGAAACACCGAAAGAAGAGGAAAGAGATAGCGAGATAAGTATAGATGAAATAATGAAAGCAATGAAAAGCATGAAAGCAGGTAAGGCTTCCGGATATGATAGAGTTTCACTCGAAATGCTAAGGGCTGGAGAGGAAGTGGTGGCAGGCCTGCTGCACACCTTGTTTAATTTATGCTGGGAACTGAAGCGGGTACTGGTAGACTGGTGCAAAGTCGTGATAGTCCCAGTATATAAAGGAAGAGGGTCGCAGCAGGACTGTAAAAACGACCGTGGCATCAGCCTTCTTAGCATTGTGGGAAAACTGTATGCTAAGGTACTGATTGAAAGGGTCATGAAAGAAACTGATGGAAAAATTTGGGATGTGCAAGCGGGATTTAGAAAGGGAATGGGATGTACAGATCAAGTCTTTTCCATGCGCATGATCGCGGAGAAGTTTCTGGCCAAAAACCAAAAGGTTTTTTGTGCGTTCATGGACTTGGAAAAGGCCTATGACAGAGTGGATAGGGATTTGCTATGGCAAACACTGAACTCATTTGGATTGAGCGCTGGCTTGATACAGGCATTGGAGTCTCTTTATAGGGACTCTAGTGCTTGTGTTAGGATCAACGGGGTCTAGTCGGACTGTTTTGACATCCATAAAGGTGTCAGACAGGGCTGTGTGGCTTCCCCGTGGTTGTTCAATCTATTTATGGACAGTTGTTTGCAAAATTTAAAAGTTGAAGAATGCGGATTAAGAATGGGTGAGTTAACCGTCAAATGCCTTTTGTACGCCGATGATCAAGTTATTCTTGCGTCGTCGGCGGCCGAGTTGCAAATGATGGTTACATTAATGAACGGATCATTAAAAGAAAGGGGTATGAAAGTGAACGCAAGTAAGACGAAGGTTATGGTTTTTGAAAGAGAAGAAAGTAAAACGATTTGTGAAATAAGAATAGAAGGGGAGTTGATCGAGCAAGTAGATGAGTTTGTATATTTGGGCTACGTATTTAGCAGGGATGGGAGATATGATAAGGATATAGAACGACGAGTGAATGCGGGAAATAGAGTAAATGGGGCCTTGCACTCTATTGTGAAGAGTCAAAATGTGTCGAAAAAGGCACGTCTGGCAATTCACAATGCTGTGTTGGTCCCTACTTTAATGTATGGTAGTGAAAGTTGGGTGTGGCAGAAGAAGCACGAGAGTAGAATAAACGCAGTAGAAATGCGGTCGTTAAGGAGTATGTTAGGGCTGAATCTGAATGACAGGGTAAGAAATTGTGTAATAAGAGAAGAGTGTGGTTTGCAAGATGATGTTGTGACCAGGATTAAGAAAGGAATGCTTCGGTGGTTTGGTCATGTGGAAAGAATGAATGAGGAAAGAGTGACAAAGAAAATTTATGGTGCAGAAGTGAAGAGTCGGAAAGGGACGTCCTAGGCGAAAATTTATCGACCAAATTGGCGATTTATTGAAAACGGGTCAAATTAGGAGTACCCTTAACCGACAAGCATGTATGCGTAGGTGTATGGATGTGAAGGAGGCAAGAGAGGTGTGTCAGGATCGTGCCAAATGGAAGTCTGTAGTCTCTGCCTACCCCTCTGGGTGACAGGCGTGAGTGTTTATGTTATGTTATAAATTTCGTGTCACGTTGTTTGTCCGCGATGGACTCCTACTTAACCGATTTTAATGAAATTTGCACACCGTGTGCAGTTTGGTCCAACTTGAGAGATGGGATAGTTTTTTTTTTTGCCCATGAGAAATGAGCGCTCGAAATTTTATAAGCAGACCTTTTGGAATCTGGATATCGTGAAAAATCTATTGAATGTCAAATAAAATCTGTTCAAATTAAAATTGTTTGCACTTTTGAACACCTAATCTATCCCTGTATGGTAACTGTTTTGCAATTTTCTTTCTTTCTTATGGTATTTATTTCCGCCCAAAGATGTGTTAAAATTAGTACTTTTAAATATATTCTTTTTTGTTTCCATACATGGCTAGATAATGTTGAGACAAATTCAAATCATTTTTTTATTTTGAACGTACACCAAACAGTGGAGTAATCGCCAGTTTGTATGGAAAAATGAGTGGCTAGTGTACCCTTAACAAACTGCTTTGTTTCTCTGTTCCAAAGTGATACGTATGAGCGAGGCACACGCTCGTATGCATCTCCGCGCGCAAGTCAACGAAGAAGACGTTAATATGGCCATACGCACAATGCTCGAAAGTTTCGTCGATACACAGAAGTACAGTGTAATGCGCGCTATGAGACAGGTAAATGTTTATTTACGTTATACATTTATGTAGGGTTCCTTTGCATGTCAAGACAGATATCTGAACCTGTCAAAAGCCATAAAGATTAAAATTTATGTGCGTTCAAAAGTGACGCTTCCTTTGAAACTGAAGTAAGCGCCGTCCGCCAGCCGTAGCGTCTGCTAATACGCGTCTTGACTCGCTAAGAGAGAGACGAATTAATTGTGCGCTGGCCGTGCGCGCTCAGTACCGATAGCATTTTTGTTACGGATACGCGTCTCGACTCTAGTTCGATATTTTTGATAATTGTTTGTTGTTTGGTTTGGACTTTTGTTTGTTTTTGTTATACTTGAACGTTATTTTATCTGTTTGTTGTTAATTGCGTTGTTTTATTGTTAAGTTTGGACGTTGTGTTGTGCCGTTTTATTGTGACGCTTAGGAGTTACTCCGACTTTTTTATTTTTAAAAAAAAGATGGGAGGAAAGGCAATACATAGCCAAGCACGGACACTTGCTCTAAAAGTTTTAAAATTTTTCGAAGATGAAAAATCAAATAAAAAGTTTCTTATTCCTGTGGACCAAACTTTAAAGAGGGCTTGTGCAGCAACAGGCATATCAAAGGAACGAACGAATCTGTAACACTTTTTATAGTGCAATAAAGTGTATAATAAATAAATTAATAATAATATAAATGAGAAAGTGTGTATGTTTATTTCTTTGTCCTTCCTTGACGCGTTAACTAAAAATAATATTATATATATTAAAAAAAAAATATTTAAAATATATAAAAATGGCAACAGTATATCACTTATTACTTCACCCCTTGCCAGAACATTTTATTTTGTTTTTATTAATAATCTCATGCAAATCTCAAAAATTTCAAATAAAAAAATATTACGACGCATTATTTTGCACACCGTACATTGACAATTACGTCATCGGCCCAGGTCTCAAGTTAATTCGTACGAGTCCGATAGGTATCCGATAGGTTTTTGCTCGTGTTTAATATATAATTGGTTACTTTGATATTTTTGTGACATACATTATTGTATAGACTGTAGACAAAAAAGACAAAAAATCAAAAGAAGGATAGAATATTAAAATATGAAATATTATGAAAGAAAAGTTAAATTATAAATTTATTTAATGTTCGTAAAAACAATGCAGTTAATTGAACGGCCAAATAATGGAGATAAAATAGTAATTACAAGCATGAAAGGTCTTTGTGTTTTTCGTTATCTCTGTATATAATGAAAAATAAATGTGTAAAATCTAAACGTTCTTTGCTAATCCTACTTCATTCTTGTATTTCACTCTAGAATTTTCAATTAACTTTGACAAGGCGGATTATATCATATACAACTTCAGTCGACTTTTACGAACTTATAAATTAATGTATTCTTTTACGATTTTAGAATTATTGAATATTTTTGATGTGTAGAAATTAACAAAATGGTACACAAATGAAATCGGAACTTTTCGGAGTGTTTAGAAATTGCTGTTCTTTTCACTATTATAATCAAAAGAATTGTTCAATAATAGTATATCTGAATAAAAAACCATGAACATAGAACAAATAATGATTTCTTATGTTAACACAAACACTATACATTTAAATAAAAAGTTAGTTATTGCCTATATGCGTCCCACTGCTGGGCACAGGCCTTCCCTCATTTCTGTGAGGGTTTTAGGGCAAGGAAATGTCTGCCCCACTGCCCCAATGCATGTTGGTGAACTTCACATGTCTGCGAATTTTTTTTTTTGTCTTATTTTTCAGACATACAGGTTTCCTCACGATGTTTTGTTTAACCGCCGATCAGGTCAAAATTGCATTTAACAATTTCATTGGTGACGGCGGGGATCGAACCCCCTTTTCATTAAATTATTTAAATAAAACTGAAACTAAAACTACGATAAAATCCGTAAAAACTAATTTTATTTTAATTGAGCAAATATAGCCTAGCGTGAACAAAAATTAACAGGATTGACAAGCCTTCCTAGCACAATCAATTTATCATTGAAATATCAATGATAGATTATTTTAACGAAGGATTATATCTCTTAATAATACTATGACTTAATCTGTTTTTAATTGCAAACGCAAATGGAGCTTGGAAAAGAAATTGATAGCGCGCACGATATACATCATTTTGTAGGATAATGGTAACAAACGAGCACACATTCCACCTGATTATAAGTGGATGCTGTAGCCCATAGACATCTACATTTAGCCTTGATCAAGAATCAAAATGCAGATGTGTTGTCACCCCCAAGGACTAAGATGGACTGCCTCGATTCCAGTAAAACGGATCTCCGGTTCTTTACACTCACCATACGAAACACAGCAACATTAAGCTGCTATTTTACGCTGGTATTCTGTGAGAGCGTGATCCTGCCACGGTCGAGCCGACCCATTCATGTTACTACCCTAATATAGCTGCAGCATGGCTCTATCACATATAAAACATTAATACATGATTTAATTACACCATCGGACAACCACATCGGACTCGGCGGGTCTCTCCTCCTTTATTGGAAATATTCTATGCATTCGCACTAAACTGCTTCGTCGTTTGTATTGCGTAAAGTAAAGGTGTGAAATCATTTACGGGTGTCTATCTTTCCATCTGATTACATGGGTGTCTTCAAGGCAAAAGTTAATAGTCTATCATTATGCTGACAGATTGTAATTAAGTACTGGCTTATAATGTGTAAAACAATAATGAAATCCTATGATGATTGCAGTCAGTTAACATTTTTTTTTAATTATCCGATTGTTCCTTTCACAGACATTCCAGAAGTACCTGTCATATAAGAAAGACCATAGTGAGCTGTTGTACTACATTCTTCGTCAACTTACAATGGACCAACTCGCTTACATGCGAGGCCTGCACAATCACTCGCAATCAACCATCGAAATTTCAGAAAGAGACCTAATGGAGAGAGCTCGTCAAATAAACATCGCAGATTTAAAACCTTTCTACGATAGTAGGATATTCAAAATCAACAATTTCAGCTATGATCAAAAAAGAAAGGTCATAATTCATGCATTGCCAGAAACACCCAGTGTTTCATAGTGAAGAAGAATTAGGATTTGTGGGAACAATAATTTGAAACTGGAAGTACAATAAACAATTATGTAATGTGTCATTGTTATAATAATTAAACAGTAAAATAATGGAGTGAATAAGGAGTAAAAAGTTTAGACTGTCTAGTAAAGATACCTTGACCTTGCTCATAACTGTTATTTTCTTCATCTAAATATATCCGCCTTGTGAGCTCTGCATTTGTCAATAAACATTATAAATATTATATAATATTAAGTGTTCATCAGACATTTTTTTTTTGTGAAATAGACTATTCTGACTACAATTGTAATGTGCACAAATAAGTGTTTGTGTAAGTAAAGCAAGCTAGTGTGAAAATAGAATTATTGAGATGCTACCAAAATCAGTGAGTGAGTCAATATCTGTTATATCATCATTAGGGCTTAAGGAGTGCAATCAATATAAGTTCTTTAAGTTGATACTAAGCTACTAAACGCATGGGTCTCTTATATTCAATAAAAGCCAAAAACAATACTGGACTTAAAACTTGGTATTATTTTGTTGATTTACATTTAACTATTACAACAGGTATAAGATATACTAAGCATACTGTTACCACATAAGTAAAGAAACCGACCAGAGACAAGCTTCTAAAGAGCATTCAAACTACTATAATACATATTATTATAACTACGATAATTTGTTTTTCAAAATAATTTGTCTAAATATTTTGTTTTCATATTTTTGGTTTAAATGTAACATATCGTTTCTTTCTTAATTAACTAATAGAAAGCACTCTCATGGAATATACAACTTTACTGACCCCAATTTTTACTTGTGGTATAAATCAAATGTGAAACGAAAACAAGCATAATGCACGACGTGTACACCCTGAGTTTAGGCACTGGCTGAGCCGATTTAAAGCAGTTTCTTTCTGTACGTGACGAGCCGCCGTGCGCACACACGCGCCTCAAGCTTGTAGTAGTGTACCTATCTGTGCGGTTGTAAGAAGCTTTGCCTCTGGTCGGTTTCTTTACTCATTTGCTGTCATTTTAATTATTGCTAAATCATGCAAACCGGTTAAGTAATGTGTTTTCTTATTTTAGTCCACTGAACTGGTAAAGGGCTTCTGTAAGCTATTGTAGCTTATATTCCCAACATCAACTCTACGGATTTGCGCTTGTTGGTAATATACAACCTTAGTTTTGCATTCTGTAATTCAAAATGCAATTTGAGAGATTTCTTAACAAAATATCACCATTTGATGAAAATGTAAGTCATGTGCCTTATAAAACAAGTTATATATTTTTGTTACATCATCATCATTCATCATTCTCTAAGCCATTTCCCATTATCTGGGGTCGGCGCAGTAAATCTTCTTGTTCCATTCCTCTCTATCAGCCGTCATTTACTCCTTTCATTCTCATATCACTCTTCACACAATCGATCCATCTTTTATTCGGCCTTCCTCTGCCCGTGTGTCCCTCCACATTCATATTCAACTATATTTTTGTTACATATATGAATAATAAATTTACTAGCATACACTAACATGTCAGCCCCTAATTTTAATATTTATGTTTTAAATATGCCCTAGTTATGTAAGATTTAATTTTTGAAATTTTCAAGAAAAATACATTGTTTTTACTCATTAAACTTTAGTAACAATCATTGTTAAGAAAATTGTATTGATTAAAAAATAAATGAAACATCATGTGCTCTAGTTAAATAGTTTAATTTATTTCTTATCAAAATCCATGAAACATTCTTAAAATAAACACTAATTTACTTCCATGAAACACATTTTTACTATACAGTCTTAAAAATACATTTTAATTACGTCACATCACCTATTTCAAATTCAAGTTATAAATAACATTAAATCTAATCAAAGTTTGCAAATGTTTACAAAGCATAACAGTACTACATTAGTGTTTAAGAATAAATCGCCTTTAAATTTTAAATAAACCAATAAACAACACAGGTATATCTTTATTAAAACCTTATAAAATATGCAAATCAAGTGCCCTAAATACTAATAAACAATAATAATTACAACATCTTTACATCTATAGCTATAATTATTAAAATATTTCAAATTTCTCAATTAAATTGTTTATCAGGCTTCAGGTAACGAAAAGAAATACAATCACAAATTTAAAAGTTATGCTAAAATATATTTGACCTTAACTAAGAACACAAGCATTGCCCATTGAATACATAATATTGTTGTGTTTGCAATTGGGCATTGTTTTAAATGTCCAGCATTGTAAGTAAAACAACTCTCTGGCATCATAACATTCAATGAATCTCTTCCACAATAGCAATCTCTTAATAGTCCTGTGAAAATGCTTCTGATAAAATTTTACATAATACTAAAGGAAATTTAAGAGTCGCTGCACGATCCAGACTCAGAGCCACTGCTGCTATTGCTGTCACTCTCCGAATCGCTGCTGCTGTCACTGTCGGAGGATTCAGAGCTGTCTGAAGAAGATTCTGAAGAGCTACTGGATGAGCCTTTATCAGAACAGTCTGAACAATCTGAGTTTCCACGTTTCTTCTTGTTTGGAATCTTGCATTTTCCATTGCTGCAAAAATTTCAGGATAAAATCTTCAAATAATAAGATGCATACTCATCAACTTTTAACTGCTAGTGTGTTGATGTACTAATAATAATAATAGGTTTTTTTTATTAACTTTATAATATGATATTACTAATAGACTAATACAAGTGAAGTGATCTAAGCTGTCAACAATAAATACAGTAAAACTAGCGTCCGCCTTAGCTTTGTACAGGTGATTTCTGGATCTCGACAACAGCACCACCTACAGGGCCCTAATGTGAATAAAAAACCATATAGGGACCCATTAATACACAAAAAATTTGAATGGTTTCAGTCTATAACAGACATAGGTAGAAACATTTTGTGTTTTTTACTTAATGATTTTTTTTTAAGGTGTAACAGGCAAATGGTATAGAAGCCTATGGCACTGATATTTTTCATTTTGTTTTCTTTTATATTAACATATTATGAAATTGATCTTAATTTTATTGAAATAAACACTTGTTGAACTAAATAAATAAGTTGATTAAAAATTGAAATTATACTAAGCACCCAATACTATTTATATGATAGATATGTATTTAATGATAGATCAATTTCATATATTAATGTAAAAGAAAAAAAAATTGTAAAATATCGGTGCCATTGGCTTCTATTCCATTCACCTGTTACACCCTATTTTTTTCCAGACCATAAAAAAGATCATTCAGTATAGATAGATCATATAAAAACAAGGATAAGCAATGTAACACAGACCACAATATATTTTTCCAGTTTAAAATTGTTTAGATTTCAGGATTCTACACGTGGCGAATATTTTATTGAACTACCGCCAATATTCAATTCAATATAAATATCTAAATTTTAGATTTTCAGTATATATGAAAGTACTCTGTGGATGAAACATGCATAATGTGCATATTTTCAAACTAACCTGCACTGCCCTTCTTCCTTAGACTTCAAATTCTTCTTAAGAACTTGTGTTCGTGAGGGTCGAACCAAAATTTTTCTTTTACCCTTACATTCGTAGCTCCAATGCCCGTACTCCAAACATTTCTGACAGCGAATGCCTTGAGGAAAAGCTGCGGCTAATGCTGCTTGCCTGTAAAATTCATAAAGGAAATAATATAATGGAGACTACTTCGATGAATAGTAAACAATTATATGAAATGAATTTCTAACTTTTTCCTTTCAGCCTGATGTCTATTATATGTCCCCAACGTCATTTTGTTTCGATTCTTTCGATAAAGTAGTAATTAATTCCACTTGTTAAATACTATCGACGAAGAACTGCAGTCTAAAATCCTTTCAATATGCTATCTGCACAGCAAATCTGCAATGCAAACACAAACGAAACGAAAAATGATTTGCGTCAAATCAAGCCAAGCAGCATGGCCACAAATTATAAAGTTTGAGCATGGCTATCACCTAGGGATGTTCGATGATCATCGATGTTAAAAATTAAAACATCGATGTTTTAACATCTATGTTGCCACTTGTAAAACATGGAAACATCGATGTGAATGAACCAACAATCGATTAATAAGAACGTCTGGACAACGCGAACCTGCGTAATCAATATCGAATAAATATTTGATCTCGTATAAAATGTTTAAACCTTCGAATAATTCTTGATATCTAAACGTATCGGTCACCTAAAAAATATCATTATGGTGTGTTAAGCTCACTGTCAAGAGTGAACTGTAATGTCACAGTTGTCCCTGCTTTCACTTCACTTAGTTATACTGTAGTATAGTTGTCAATTGTCGCCTATAATAACTATTGTTACGAGCTTGAGGTTCGTGACAATAAAAATTGCCGATAGAATTACCTAAATTAACACTTTAATTTTATTTACACAAATTAAAACTTAAAACACTAACAATTAATCACACTAATTCACTTTATTCCGCTCCGTCTTGTGACACAATAGTTCCTTTCCGGTTTTGACAACAACTTGCTGAAGTACGCTATCACGACCTCTTGGTCACCATTCCGTTGAGACAACAGACCGCCGAGTCCTGTATCACTTGCGTCTGTGTCAACTATATATTCCTTGCCTGCATCAGGGTATCCCAAAATAGGTGTTTTGAACAGACGGTCCTTGAGCTCCTGGAATGCGATATTGCAACTTTCATCCCAGCGGAAAAGTCGCTTCTCCTCGGTTAGCTTATGCAGAGGTTTGGCTATGTCTGCAAAGTTCTTCACAAATCGCCGGTAGTAGGAGCACAAACCCAAAAATGCTCTAACCTGCGTCTTGTCTTTTGGAACCGGCCAATCCTTGACAGCGGCGATTTTCTCTGGATCCGTGCGGATACCCTCTTCCGATACTTTGACTTGCCGTTTGAATAGAAAACATTTCTTCGGACTCAACTTGAGGTTGGCACTCTGAATCTTCATGAGCACGCGTTCCAGGTTTTGAAGGTGTTCCTCAAACGTCCGGCCTACGATGATGATGTCATCCAA